GACCCTGGCGTTGGAGCTGCTACTGGTGCTGCGGACCCGGGAGTTGGAGGTGCTACTGGTGCTGAGGACCCGGGCGTTGGAGCTGCGGCAGGTGCTGTGGACCCTGGTGTTGGAGCCACTGCTGGTGCTGAGGACTCGGGCGTTGGTGCTGAGGCTAGTACTGGGGACCTGGGCGTTGGAGCTGCTGCTGGTTCTGGTACTGCCGCTGGGGGTACAGGTGCTGTCCCTACTGTGTCTGCAGTCGCCGCGCGCCCTCAGCCGTACTTCGTTCCGCTCCTTCAGCAGGTTCTTGGTCTCTCGCCTCCTCCTGGTCCTCCTCCCTTAGCGTGTTCACAGCCTGTCCCGTCACAGTTACAGTTGCAGCCGACCTCCCCACTACCTGCTCCTCCTCCTTACACTGGTCCTACTGGCGGTCTTACTGAGCATCGTGAGTCTGCGTCTCGTCCTGCGTCGCCTGTCCGTCCTGCTAGCGCTAGTGCTCGTAGTTCGCGCCAGCGTCCTCCTCCTGCCCCTGGCACGCACCGGATGTCTCTACGTCCGTCTACTGCTCCTCTGCGTGCCCCTTTGCCTTCTCCTCCTGCGTCCTCTCTTCCTGCTCTCGCCGACCCTGCGTCGGACTCTCTTCGTGCTGCCAATCCTACTGTCACGCGTCTCCTTGCTACTGCCGTCACTGACCCTTCTTTCGAGTCTTCTGCTGCGTCTGCCCTAGTTGCTGAGCTCGTCGACTTTGCTGCTCACTGTCGCCTAGACTACGCTGCGAGTCTTGTCGCTGAGTCTGAGTCTGTCTGTCCTCCGTCCGTCGGGGGTGCGTGTGCCCTTGGCACGGACGTCCTTGAGGACAGGCAGGAGGAGTTCCAGTGCTTGGCCGCTGCTTCACCTCATCTCGTGTCCGTACTGCTTACCCCTGAGGGAGACCCGGATGCACTTGACATCTCGACTCCGCGCTCTTACGCGGAGGCGATAGAGGGTCCCTACTCCTCTCAGTGGCAGGCAGCTATGGATGCAGAGATGGCTTCCTGGAAGTCCACAGGCACCTACGTTGACGCTGTCCCCCCTCGTGGGGCGAACATCGTCAGTGGCATGTGGATCTTCAGGGTGAAGCGGCCGCCGCGTTCTCCGCGTGTCTTCAAGGCGCGTTACGTGGCTCGTGGCTTCAGTCAGCGGCAGGGAGTTGACTACTTTCAGACCTTCTCCCCCACCCCGAAGATGACCACTCTTCGGGTACTGCTGCACGTTGCTGCTCACCGGGACTACGAGCTGCACTCTCTCGACTTCAGCACAGCTTTCTTGCAGGGCAGCCTGCACGAGGAGATCTGGCTGCGCCGCCCACCTGGCTTCACTGGGTCTTTCCCTCCTGGTACCCAGTGGAGTCTCCGGCGTCCAGTCTACGGTCTCCGCCAGGCGCCACGTGAGTGGCACGACACACTGAGGACTACGCTTGCGGCTCTTGGGTTCGCTCCTTCTACTGCCGACCCGTCGCTGTTTCTGCGCACCGACACCTCTCTGCCGCCGTTCTACATCCTCGTGTACGTTGACGACTTGGTCTTTGCCACAGCTGACACTACTGGACTGGCCTACGTGAAGTCCGAGCTGCAGAAGAGACACACGTGCACTGACCTGGGTGAACTGCGCAGCTACCTTGGCTTGCAGATCACCCGGGACAGAGCACGCCGCACCATTACCCTGACTCAGTCACACATGGTGCAGCAGGTCCTTCAGCGCTTCGGCTTCACGTACTCCTCGCCTCAGGCCACTCCTCTGCCTACTCGCCACTCGCTCTCAGCTCTGCCTTCGGATGAGTCCGTAGAGTCGAGTGGCCCGTACCCAGAGCTTGTTGGCAGCCTCATGTACCTGATGACCTGCACACGACCTGACCTTGCATACCCTCTTAGCATTCTTGCGCGCTATGTTGCTCCTGGGAGACACCGACCAGAGCACATGGCTGCAGCGAAGAGGGTGTTGCGCTACTTGTGCAGTACGTCGGGCATGGGGCTAGTGCTTGGAGGGCGGAGTCCAGTGGTCCTCACTGGACACGTGGACGCTTCTTGGGCTGACGACCAGGCTACGCAGCGGTCGTCACAGGGTTACACCTTCAGCCTTGGTTCCGGCTCTGTTTCGTGGCGGGCTACTCGCTCGTCTTCTGTTCTCGGCTCCAGTTGTGAGGCTGAGATCTACGCAGGGGCCATGGCTGCTCAGGAGCTTCGTTGGCTCACCTACCTGCTGACCGACCTTGGAGAGCCGCCTCGTTCTCCTCCAGTCCTGTACGTCGACAACAAGGCCATGCTGGCCTTGTGTCGAGAGCAGAGACTGGAGCACAGAACAAAGCACATTGCTCTCCGCTACTTCCTTGCTCGTGAGCTACAGCAGCGTGGTCAGTTGCGGCTTGCGTACGTGGCCTCTGAGGCCAACACTGCTGATGTCTTCACCAAGGCACTTCCGCCTTGTGATCATCAGCGCTGCTGTACCCAGCTGGGTCTTGTGTCTGTCTTGCCTCACTTGCTCTCCTTTTGACTCTCTTTGTACTGTTACATATATATATCACTGCTCTTGCTTGTTTAGTCTTATATATATATGTACTCTTGCATGTGAACTGGCCTTGTGGCGTTGCACTTGTGCTCGGATTGTGTGGTGACGTTGTGATCCACCCTGAGCTTGCTTTGCTTTACTTGACTGGTCTTGTGACCCCTAGTTCTCCCCCACTTCGCCTATGGGGGTGTGTCAAACATTATATATGTTGTTGTAGTTGTTTAGGCTACAGTGGGTTAGCCTATAGGGGGTACACATTCCTAGTTTTTCATACTTGTACTCATTTCACTGTTAGTTCATTCATTCTTGTTCAACACGTTTGGGGCTGGTTGAGTGGGTTGGGAAGAAGTTCCCGCATCGCCATTCCGCAATGTCTGGAGCCCTTGCTCCAGGCTGGTGAGTCGCTGAAGCAGTTGTGCGAGGACGGCGGAGGGAATCGTTGTCGTTTCCTCGTTTGTCGCAGCCCGGTTGGGCTGCGCTTAAGCCGTCAGATTTGTCAGACCTCCAGATCCTCCGGCCATTCTTACACGTGATCGTGTGCCGGACGCCACTTTCCGAATGTCGCAGACTTCGGAGATGGCGGTGCGAAGGATTCCTGAGTCGCTCTCATACCATGCTGCGATCAGAAGTTGATTGTGGCCTAGGATCTACTCAAGAAGGTTCGCACGCAGAGAAGTGGTGTTGGTGGGCCCTTGACCTCAATAGCAAAGTGAATGTAAATGCTTGAGATGATTAAGACATGCATACATCGAGTTTATATAAGAGTACAGGGGAATACGAAAAGACCTAGACTAGCCATGTACTCTAAGGGGTACATTCCCTTATTCAAATACATCCCCAACTGTGCGGCGCGAACAGTTACGAAACTGATCCCGCCGAAACCGTCCTGCCTGCAGCTGCCTGATGCTGTCTACTCTAACGGTTCAGATGCGTTCCAATCGTCTGACGCTTCGCGTTCATTCACGATACTGCGTGCTTCTCTTTGCTGCAGTGAGGAGTGCTCAGTAATATTCAAGTATTACTATTCGTAACACCCACGGCATAAATTTCGTTAGGGCCAATTTCGACCTACGTGTCAGAATTGTAGGGACAAAGTTGAAACAGGAAAGAGGGCTTTCACTTGTAAGAAATGGGATACATATAGGAAACCCTAGTTGAGTTGTACTCGGTATAGAGTACCTCACTCCAAACTAGACAAATAACACATTCTGACACTACCCCTACTGGTTCGGCGATTTTCCTGCTGCTACACTACAACATTATGGCCAAATGGTAGCAAAAGTGAGTGATAATGCACGCCCTAAAAGAATTACACAATCAGACCAGGGCAAATTTTATCAGGGTAAATCACCCTGATACCCTGATAATCAAGGTGGTTTTTGGGGGTCACAATGATGGCCCCGGGTAATTTTTTTAGGAGCTAGTTTTACCTTGATGTGCCAGGGTTTACATTTATGTCACACTGATGCATAAGGGTTCCCGAATCCGATAACGGGTTTTACCCTGAAACGAGTACCCTACCCCCCCCCGCCCCCCAGTACCCCCACCCCCCCTTTCCCGTAACCCTGGAATCCCGATTGCCAACTGTCGAAGCCTGATTTTCGGCCTTGACAGCGCATGTGCTGGCACACATTGGGCCACCATTGGCCCGGCTTACAATTTCTTTGTTGGCTGCGCCACCAACACAACTCGGTCTGTTTGTCTGACATGACAACACGACCGGGTTAGCAGGAAACTTGGCTGAGTGGACCACAGAAGGGCAAACAGAAAGCACCTGAGCCTGAAGAAGAGAGTGACCACGACGAACACCCGTGTGGCATGTCTGATGATGATGAGTGAAATTTGTATTGAGTGCAAGTATAAAAACTATTGAACAGGGTTTGTTTTTAATGAACACTGATGCGACAAGGTAATTTTTTCAAAAACCGGGAAAACACTGATGGGAAAGATTTTTCACAAGGGGTCACACTGATAATCAGGTTTTTGAGCTTGTGCCACACTGATCGTAAGGGTAGGCCAAATCCAAAAATTTGCCCTGAATCAGACATGCTAACAGTTCTGATTACTTCCGCCTGCCTTTTTTTCCTAGATAACATCTGTCACGAGCTGAGTAGCTCACTTGATTCGATATCTAAAACAGTTTGTCCCCCTACAACGCTTTGAACCGTGAATGAGTTCATTTGAACCTGAAACGGAAGTGCATACCTCCTCGCCCCAAGCAAACCACCCTGCTCGTTGGCGAATGCGCCGTGTTGAAAAGCAGCTCGGTACTAGAGAACTTCGGTTACAGAACGTTCAACGAGCTGCACAGAGGCTTTGCTCTCCACCTTTCCACTCCATCAGTCGGCGCTCCCCCGGCTTCCCTTTCGAGCACCGACCATCCGCGGCTGAGCCTCGAGGCGCCTCACAAGCAAGCTCGGGCGGCGCATGTTGCGGCGCCGTGACGTGGCGTCGCGGCACCTCTTGTGATCGCCATGGACGCGGCGGGAGCGGCGGAGTCGGCGGCGGCGATGGCGGCGTGGCGCGGCGAGGTGGCGCGGGTAGCGCGGCAGCTGGCGGATCGAACGGCGCTGGAGCGCGCCAATGGGCTCACAGCGCTCGACGCGCTCCTCGCCGGTGCGCGTGACGCCCGCCGCCAGCGCTTCTCACGCCCGTTCGCCCTCCCCGTGCCTCACCCGCCATTCCCACCTGCGCGCTCCGCTCATCCGCAATCCCCACTTTTTCTGCTTCCGCCACTCCCTGGCCTCCTCGTCCCCACCGCCTCTCCCTTCGTCATCCCGCTTCCTTTCCTTCCGCCCGTCTCTTTGTCCCCGTCGCGCTCCATCCTCTCCCCCCGCCTCCAGCTCTCACCGCCCCCCTCCTCAATTCCCGCCATTCCCGCTTCCCCCATTCCCCCTCTCCCCCGTTCCCCCATTCGCCCCCAGGCGTGGCGAGCGGCAGTGACGGCGCGGCCAGGCGCATGGAGGCAGTGAGCGCGCGCCTGCTCGCCATGCAGGGGCGGGGGGACGCGGGGGCGGAGGGGGGAACGGGGGAAGGAGAAAGGGCGGGGGAAGAGGCAGGGAGCGCAGGGCGTGGGGCGCAGGGGTCAGAGGAAGGGGGGGGCAGTGCAAGTGGGGGTGGCGGCGGCAGTGGCAGCAGCGGCAGCAGTGGCAGCTGCGTGGGTGGCGGGTGGAGTGCGCGGCATGGGGGCTTCCTGGGGGCCGAGGTATGGTGGGCTGGGCTGGGCTGGGCTGGGCGGTGGGGATGGGGATGGGGATGGGGATGGGGATGGGGATGGGGGATGGGGTCGTGACTCGTGCGCTGTGGGGTGTAGGCGCGTGCATGGTGGACAGGCGAGGGGAGAATGAGAGCTGATGGGGTGCGAGGCGAGGAGCATGCTCTGCGGTGCACACGCCCTGCCCTGCACGCTGTGGCCCACACGGCCCCATGGCAGCACGGCCCCATGGCAGCACGGCCCCATGGCAGCACGGCAAGCTTGCCCCAACCTGCTCCTCTCTCGTGCACCAACCCCGCACGCCTGGCAGGTGCTGCTGCGGCACTGGAGCAGAGTGCTGGGCGCTCAGCCGGGGCAGCGCGAGCACGCGGGCAGCGAGGAGCCGTGCGCTGCAGGGGGCGAGGAGCCGTGCGCTGCAGGGGGCGAGGGCGCGGGGCAGGGGAGTGGGGGAGGCAGCGCAGGGGAGGCGGGGGAGAGGGAACACGGGGGAAGGGAGGGGGGGCGGGGGAGGGGAAGGCGTGGCGGCGTTCTGCAGCGGAGCGGGGGAGGCTGTGCTGCGGCACTTGGATGATGAGGAGCCTCGCGTGAGGTGGGGAGGGGGGGGAGCATTAGTGCATCAGCATCAGCATCAGCATCAGCATCAGCATCAGCATCAGCGCATCAGCGCATCAGCATCAGCATCAGCATCAGCGCATCAGCATCAGCATCAGCATCAGCATCAGCGCATCAGCATCAGCATCAGCATCAGCGCATCAGCATCAGCGCATCAGCATCAGCATAGCATCAGCGCATCAGCATCAGCATCAGCATCAGCGCATCAGCATCAGCGCATCAGCATCAGCATCAGCATCAGCATCAGCGCATCAGCATCAGCGCATCAGCATCAGCATCAGCATCAGCATCAGCGCATCAGCATCAGCATCAGCATCAGCATCAGCGCATCAGCATCAGCATCAGCATGAGCATCAGCATCAGCATCAGCATTGCTGGACACTCACAACCACTCATGTCCAGTTTCTTCTCCCACACACGCCCTGCCTGCCCCTCCACCTCTTCCCCATCACCTGCTCGCTCGACCTCTGTGTGTGTGTGCGTGCATGTGTGTGTGCATGCCAGGCTGGCAGCAGCGGAGGCCCTCTGCGCCCTGGCGCACTACGGGACGCTGCCCGCCGCCCTCGCCCTTTTCAGGTCGCCCTTCCGCCCTTGCCTCTTGTTTTCATTCATCATACCACAACCCGCCATGCACCACCCCAACCTCTCCTTGTCTCCTTGTCTCGCCCTCGTCAGCCAACCTCTCCCCTGCTCTCATTTCTTTGTTATGTGTTCGCCACCCATGCCGTGCCACACACCGCCAGCATCCCCTTGCTTGGCCTCATCAGCACGCGTGAATCTCCTCTCGCCTCCCCGCTTCCTCTTCTCCCCTCCCCCCCCACGGCCGTAAAGGCACACTGCAGCAGCAGCAGCCGCTGCCGGTGCTGCTGGAAGGGCAGGAGGAGAGCACATGTCTCCCCTATCCTCCCTCTTCCCTTAGTCCTCGTCGTCCTTCCCCCCAACCCCCGCCGTCCTGCCCCTGTCCGCCTCCCCCCTCAGGGCCGTGAAGGCCCACATCCTCCGCACACTGCAGCAGCAGCAGCCGCTGCCGGCGCTGCTGGAAGGGCAGGAGGAGGGCGACGGGGAGGGGGAGGATGGGGAGGAGGGGGATGGGGCAGGGGAAAAGGGAAGCAGGCAGGCAGCCTTGGGAGCGCAGCAAGGGGAGGGGGGACGGGAGGGCGCGGAAGGGGGAGTGGCGGGGGAAGGGGGGGAGGGGGGGGAGGGGATGGGGGATGCGCCCAGTTCCCCCCGGGCGGACAAGGCAGGGCTGGCAGCGGCCATGGGCAGGCGGGGGGGCGCGGAGGGAGTGGGGGGAGTGGGCGGGGGAGGAGGGAGGGCAAGCGCGCGCCAGACAGCGACTGAGTTGATGATGGCGGTAGGGTGGGAGGGAGGCAGTTGGGTAGGCGTTCAGGCAGGCGGGTGGGGGGAGCGGGTGGGGGTGGCGGGTGGGGGTGGCGGGTGGTGGGAGCGGGCGGGGGGGGGAGGGAGGGCAAGCTCGTGGTAGACAGCGACTGACCTGATGATGGCGGTAGGGTGGGGGGGAGGTAGGTGGGCGGGCGGGCGGGCGGGCGGGATGGCGGGCAGGCAGGCGGGCGGGCAGGCGGGTGGGAAGGCGGGGATGCACGCGTGCTTACATGTGGGCATGCGGGCTGAGTAGTGGCAAGCTGTGGGGTGGACAGCTGAATCCAATCCTCTGCTGCCTCTGCTACCTCGGCCGCTGCTCCAGTCCAGCGCCGCCTGTTGGCTCCACGCCATCTGCCTATGGGCTCCACGCCATCTGCCTGCCTCCCTGTGCCGCACGCCCCACATTTCCCCCTCTTCTTCACCCCACTTTCATCTCAAACCAGTCCCGCCCTCTCCCTCTTCTCTCCCTTCACCAGGCGCGGGGGCGCACTAGCAAACGGCGCTGTGCTGTATGGGAGCCGTCCACCAGACTGTTGGGCGGGGTCTTGAGTGTTTCTCTCCTCCTGTCCTCTCCCGTCCTCACCAGGCGCGTGGGCGCAGACTGGAGACGGCACTGCGCTCTAATCTTTTCTTCCTTCAGTTCTCAAAAGTTAACCCCCCCTCTCTTCTCCCCTCCTCTTCCCTCCTCTCCCCTCTTTTGCCCTCCTCTCCCCCCACACCAGGCGCGTGGGCGCGGTCTGGAGACGGCACTGCGCTCGCTGCAGCGCCTGCTGGATGGGCTGGGGGAGCGGCCGGGGGGGAGAGGCGGGGGGGGGAGCGGTGCAGGGGAGAGGGTAGGGTGGCCAGTTGTGGTTGGCAAAAGGGAAGATGCAGGGGAAGGGGGGGGAAAGGAAGAGGGGGAGGGGGGGGCGGAGTGGGAGGAGGCGGTGGGGGAGATGAGTGGGGGTACGGTGGAGGTGGTGGGGATGGTGGTGCGGCATGGCAATCGCTTTGTGCGTGAGGCTGCCATGTTCGCCCTCGCTGCGCTGTGCCACGTCATGGGGGCCACGCAGCTCACCAGGTGCGCTGCTTCGTGTCGGCCATGTCATGCTTGTGCCCGTGCTCCAGTTCCTCAGCCCGTTCAGCCCGCACCTGCCACACTCTTTCCTGATCCATTCGCACCGTGTTCCCCTATCGGTTCCTTCCTTCTTTCAACTGTCTTCTCCCTTGTGCCTGCTGCTTTCTTCCCGCCCCTGTAAATTTCCTCGCTTCTGGCCCCAATCCTTCCCTCGGCCTCATCTGCCCCCTCTCTCTCTTCTGCCTCCTCTGCCTCTCTCCCCTTCTCTCTCATGTGCCCTGTGCAGGTTGGGGGGGACCATTGCCTCTCAGCTCGCTGTGGGGCTGGGGGACAACTGGAGCCAAGTCAGATACGGTGAGGTGCAGAGCGGTTAGATGCAGTGTGTTGAGATCTAGAGTGATGAGATGAAGTATAATGAGGTGCATTTCGTGGTGAGACTCAGTGCTGTGAGGTGCCGTGCGGTGACTGACACCAGCCAGGACTCTTACTCTTTCCGCTCGGCTCCTTTCTCTCACCCTCGCCTCCTGTGACCTCATCTCATCCTACCGGCCTCACCTGCCCCTCCCCACCACACCCTCCTCCCTCACCCCTCTTGTTGGGGCTGCCCCGCCCGCTCCTGTGCCCCACAACCGTTTCCCTCACTCCTCATGCCCCTATCTCCCCCCCCTTCTCCCCCTCCCGCTTTATCCTCCCCACCCCCTTTCTCCCCCCCCCTTTCTCCCCCCCCCCTTATCCCCCAGCGGCATCGGTGGGCAACCGAGCCTTGTTCCTGGCAGCGGGGGCCGTGCATCACAAGGAGCGCTACCTGCCCACGCTGCTGCCCGCCATGTGAGCCCGCTGCCGGCCATGCCATGCCACACCACCATGCCACACCACCATCCCATGCCACACCACCATCCCATGCCACACCACCATCCCATGCCACACCACCATCCCATGCCACACCACCATCCCATGCCACACCACCATCCCATGCCACCCGCATGCATGCTCCATGGCAGGGCTTCATATCATACGTGTGTGCACCTCCTTGCTCCATGCCCCACACCCAATTCTGCCTACTATAATCCCGGTCCCTCCTTCCCCTCTACTACCCTCCCTCCCTTTTCCCTCCCTTTCTTCCCCCCCTCTCCTCTCCCCTTTCCCCTCCCCATAAACCCAGGGTGTTAAACCGCTACTACACGGTGGATGGGGTGTGCATCCACTCGCACAGTGCTCCGTACCCGATCCCCCTCCCTTGTGAGAACCCTCCTCCCTTCCCTCTCCCCCACCCCTCTTCCTCCCCTTCCTCGCCTCCCTCTCCCCCCCTCTCATCCTTCCAGGGTGTTCAACCGCTATTACGGGGCGGATGGGGTGCGCATCTACTCACAGGACACGTGGCAGCGTGTGATGGGAGGGGGCGGGCGGGCGGCAGTGGCGCAGCACATGGCGCTGGTGGCGGCATTTTACTGCCTGCAGGCGCGCGCCCAGAACTACCTCGTGCGAGAGGTGTGCTCTGAGGGAGGTGCATGGGATATGGGGCATGGGGCATGGGGCATGGGGCATTGGGCATGGGGCATGGGTGCGGCATGGGGCATGGGGCATGTGGTGTGGGGCATGGGGCATGTTGCATGTTGCATGTTGCATGTTGCATTTTGCATGTTGCATGATGCATGTTGCATGCTGCATGTTGCATGTTGCATGTTGCATGTTGCATGTTGCATGTTGCGTGATGCATGTTGCATGTTGCATGTTGCATGTTGCATGTTGCATGATGCATGTTGCATGTTGGATGTTGCATGGGGCATGTTGCATGTTGCACGTTGCATTCACTCACACACAGTGCAGTGCAGTGAGCATCACACAATCTCGTATTTCCCTTGCTCTGCCGCTTCCCAACTGATGTCATGTGTGCAGCAAATGGCCTAGCAAATGGCTACGCCAGTAACACAATACCCTCCCTGCGCACCGCTCCCCACCCCTCTCTCCACGCCTTCCCAAACCCCACCCCACCCCATCCCACGCGTGGCATCAGACGGCGTGCTTCTGCATCGCTGAGGTGGCTGCCAAGATTGACAGGCCGGTGAGCTTGTAAAGAGGGGAGGGGGAAGGGGGGAGAGGGGTGGCGGGTGGAGGGGCAGGTGGGGCAACCGGGTGACGATTGGGAAGCACAGCAACTGGTAGGGGCTGCCGCTACTGCTGCTACAGCATCGCAATGCTCTGTCTCACTCTCACTGCACTGCACTGCACTCAATTCCCCTTCTGATTTTTTCAGCCCTTCCCTACCTCTGCCCCTGCACACTCTTCATCCTGCTCCCTCTGTCCCCACCCCCACCCCCACCCCCACCCCCTCCCCAAACCCGCCCTCCATGGTACCAGGTGGTGCTACCGGTGCTGCCGGACCTGCTGCCGAGCCTCCTCCGTTGCCACACCGACCCTGTGTGGCCCGTGCGCTGTGCGGCCTGCTCAGGTGCGCCCTCCCCTGCTCAGGTGCGCCCTCCCCTGCTCAGGTGCCCTCCGTCACCTGCCCTCGGCGGCCCCTGACATGCTCTTCTTCTTGAGACGCCTCACGGCTGATCTCCTTCTCCACTGCCCTGCCGTGCTGCACATGCTCCCTCCCCATGCACATCGCTCCACTTTCAATTCAGCCCACTTCTCCCCACTCGCGCCCTTCATCCTTCGCCCAACACTGCTGTGCCTCCATTCCCTCTTGCTCCCCTTCAACTCACACCTCTGTCCCCACCACCTCGTTATCTCTGTCCCCACCGCCTCTTTATCTCTGTCCCCACCGTCTCTCCCCTTCGCCGTCCACACTACCAGCGAGTGCCGGCGTGGTGGAGCATTATGGTGACGTGGCAGCACAGCACATTGCCACGTGGGCACCAACCTGGCTTGCCAACCTCACAGACGGTGCGTCCTGTCCAACCCACACATTGCACGCTGTCACTCGTCGCCCTCATCCCATCCACTCTCCATTGCTCTGCCCTTTGCTAATCTACTCCTCGTGTTCCGTCTTTTTTCTACCACTGCCACCATGCACCCTGCGACCACCACCAACTGCCCTTTCACCGTGCGGCAGTGATCCCGGCGGTGAGGCAGCATGCTGCGGCGCTCGTAGGGGCGGCGCTCACCACCAGGGAGACACAGGGCAAGGCGCTGCAGGTGAGAGGGGGGGCAGAGAGGTGTGGGTCGCACATGCATTGTGGTTGAAACGATTCAACAGTTACCTCAGTTCCAGACGTCTCATTATTCTCTAAGGGTCCTTTGTGTGATGAAACCCACCCCTCTCTCTTCCCCCCCACCCCTCAGATCACCCAAGACGCACTCCACACCCTGCTGCCTGCCGCCCTCTCTTCCCCCGCCCCGCACTCGCGCACACACACTCACCCACCCACCCCTGCCTCCCCCTCCGCCTGCTGCCCTGCCGCGTCCCACTCCTGCTCCGCCTCCACTCACCACCCCCATCCCCACCCTCTGCATCCTCCTGCTGCTGCCACAGCACCCTCGGGCCTGCAGGCTGTGCGCATCTCTCTCAGGTCCGTGCTGCGCTGCCCTGCCCACCACTGCCCCGCGTGCTGTCCTTGGTGCTGCCCTCCATGCCCACCTCTCCGCACTACGTCCCATCTCTTCCCTCTACGTCCTCTCTTCCAGTCTCTGCCATCCCTTGGCTCACCTTTTTTCCCTCACTTTCTTGCCCATGCTTCCATCCCGTCTCCTCGCGCCGCACTCCAAGCAGGGACCCCGCGTCACCACCAGACCCAGCACGCCCCTCCTCCATTGACCAGGTACTCACTCCTCTCCCGCACCTCCTTTCCTCTCCTCCTCCATGCCTTGCTGCCTGCTCTGCTAAGCCACACTTTTTCTTGGCATGCCCATGCCACTCTACGCCACATCGCGCCACCACACAGCACTCCATACATACCATGCCAACCCCGTGCTCCACTCGTCCCCCCATACCCATCCCATCCCATCCCTCCACCTCGCCTGCAGAAGTTCATCTTCGAGCCCGTGCCAGTCAACACCTCCTCCTCCTCCTCCGCCTCTGCCTCTGCCCCTACTGTCACTGCTGCCACTGCCACCCCTGCCGCTGCTGCTGCCCCTGCTGCTCCTCCTGCTCCTGCTGCTGCTGCCTCTGCTGCTGCCCCTGCTGCCCGGTGCACGTGCCACCATGCGCCCACAGCAGAGCCATGGGAGCAGTCGGAGGGGGCGGTGCAGCTGCTGCCCTTCCTTGCTGCCGCTGCCCCCGCTGCTGTGGGGGAGTTCCTCCCCACCCTCGCACAGCTGGTGTGTCTGTCCCCTCGCCCCCCACCCTCACCACTGCACTGCATTGTATTGCACACACCATCCTTGCGTGCGTGCTGCCGCTGCCCCCTCTGCGGTGGGGGAGTTCCTACCGACCCGTGCCCACCTCTTCTGTGTGCCCACCTCTTCTGTGTGCCCACCTCTTCTGTGTGCCCACCTCTTCTGTGTGCCCACCTCTTCTGTGTGCCCACCTCTTCTGTGTGCCCACCTCTTCTGTGTGCCCACCTCTTCTGTGTGCCCACCTCTTCTGTGTGCCCACCTCTTCTGTGTGCCCACCTCTTCTGTGTGCCCACCTCTTCTGTGTGCCCACCTCTTCTGTGTGCCCACCTCTTCTGTGTGCCCACCTCTTCTGTGTGCCCACCTCTTCTGTGTGCCCGCTTGCCCTCTGCCCTCACCCATGGGATTTCGCACTGCACACAGCACACCTTCGTGCTGCCACTCATGTCCTGTTTTCCATGCCATGCCATGCCATTCTATGCCATGCCATGCCATGGTTGTTTGTAACATAACGTTGCCTTGTCTCTTCCACCCCTCTCAACCCATCCTCACCGCACCCAACATCCACCAGGCGGGTTCACCAGCAGCAGCAGCCCATCCAGCCCTCCTAGTCACCATAATGCGCCACCTGCCGCGCATCGCCAAGGTCACTCCCGCCCCCTTCTCCCCCCACCAGCGCCCAGCCTTTCTGTCCACTGCCCACTACCCACTCATCATGCGTTCACACAGTCCCCATCACACTCTCATATTCAAGACATCCTGCTCCTCTTGCTTGCTCACCTACGCCTCCATGCTCCCTTCTCAACCTCATGCTGCCTCCCCTCCTCCGTTCCCCCCATCCCCATACACCTCCCCTTTCCCCTCCCAGCCAATGGGCAAGCGCCAGTTCAAGGTGCACGTGGAGCTCTTCCTGCCGCCGCTCTTCACCGCTCTCGCCTCTCACCAGGTCCCTCGCCTCTCACCAGGTCCCTCTGCCGCCCTCACTGCCTGCTCGCCCCACCCCTTACTGCTCGCCTTGATTTCACCCCCTCCAGACTCGTTCATGCGTCTGTCCCTTATGCGCCTGCTCGCCTTGATTTCAACCCCTCTCCCGCTCCTCCCCTTCTGATATTCCGTGCTCCTCCCTCCGCTCCCCCCCTTGCTACAGCCGGAGGTGGCAGCAGCAGCGGGCGTGGCAGTGGCGGAGCTACAGCTGCTAATAGGCCCCAGCATCTTCGAGGGGAGGCTGTCCCCGATACAGAGAGAGGCCATGACTCGTTACAAGCACCTCATTCACCTGCGTCCCCAGCAGTCCTCCGAACCTGCAATGCCTCCTCATGCCCACCATCGGCCTGGGTCGTGAGGTCCGGGTCGGGGGCATTGGGTGGAGTGGGATTTGGCACTCCGAATTACTACACTCGCATGTTCTAGCATGCTTTATATTACAGCAACACGTGTTTAACCCTTAAAACTCCAACAGAATTGCAAGTTTTCCAGACTATATTCGTGTGGTTATGTAAGAATGTGCAATATCTCATATTGAAACTTCATCTTGTTTTCCTCGACAAAAAGACCACAAGGCGTTCGTCCAAGGGCGTCCCCCTCGGTTTTCGCCCACTCGTCGCTGACGGGATCGTGGTGCCTCGTGACTGTTCGGAGGGGAAATGACGAGTGTTCGCGCATGCTGCTGCGTCAGCACTGCCCATGTCACTTCCATAATTGACCAATCGTATCGCATCACGAGCTCGCCACGTGGATTGAACCAGGGGCAATTTGGTGAGCGCGCCTCGTAATCAGCGCCTAGCTCTCCCATCCTGTACTCTTAGCGCGCCGTGTACTCTTCGCTCGCCCCCCTCTGCTCGTTGCAAGCGAGACCCAAGCAAGCAGCCAAGCACCTCGTCATGGAATTGCGGCCAAGCATCACTCGCCCACGCGCAGTCATGGTGCAAACTGCACAGCGGTAAGGCATAGCCGCCACGCTCTCTGGTGATAATTTCAGTGCAGTGAGAGAGGTGACTAAGAATCGAAGAAGAGAGAGCGCGCAGGGAGGAGACATCTGCTAGGTCGCTACTGCCATTCCACCACCTGAGGCACCACCGCAGCCACGCAACTGCCGCCCTCGCCGGCCTCTCAGGCAGCTCTCTGACTGCTCGCGGAGCTGACTGCGCCAGCAGAATCTCCGAGGTTGCGCTAAATACATCTGCCGCCGCCTGTAGAACCGCAACGCTCGTCCCCTTGTAACGGTCACCCGCAACGCTCTTAGAGGACCCTCTCTGAGCGCGCCCTCTCTGAGCGCGCCCTCTCTGAGCGCGCCCTCTCTTAGCGCGCCCTTTCCGAACGAGCTTCTCGTTCGACGCGCCCGTCTTCTCTCCTCGCGGTCCTTCTCATGGCGTCGCACGCCCCTTGCGACGCGTCGCAGCAACCGCAGCGACAAACGGCGGCTCAGATGAGCGACGCGGTGAGCGACGCTGTGCGATGGTGCGCGAACGCGGGCGACATGGAGTGCGCGCTGTTTCTGATGTCGCGAATGAAGCAACGAGGCGTGCGACTGAGCGACGCATGGTGAGAACTGCTCTCTGCTGGCCTTCCGTCCGTGCCTAGTTCCCTGCCTTCCTTCTCAAAAGCACCGCGGCGTGCGACTGAATGACGCCTGGTAAGAGCTGCTCTTTCTCTTTTCTCCGCGCCTTCCTTCTCGCGCCGCACGTGTCGCTTTAAGAATATTCTCAAGATAGCTGCCCTGCTCGTGCTGCTCCCTCGCCTTTGCGCTGCTCCCGCGCTATGTGCCGCCGCCATGCCTGCCCGTGCTGCCCTCTTTATCGTTCGAACCAATGCTGCAACCACCACTCTCCGCTAAATGAGCTGTTCGCGTCTTATGCTGTGCGGATGACGCGGCTGAAGCGGAGCGCGTACTAAAGAGCAACGAACACACGCGTCCCTTGATTCGTTACGTGAAGGAACACAGCGCAGTGCACTCGATGGATTAAAGACAAAATACGAAGTCCCTGTTGAGGCGTTTAATCGAACGGATTAGTCATGAGAGACCACATTGTGCATGTGAAGCATTGGGGTTGGGGGTAGACCACAGCACATTGGGGTTGGGGGTAGACCACAGCACATTGGGGTTGGGGGTAGACCACAGCACATTGGGGTTGGGGGTAGACCACAGCACATTGCACCCCTGCGCGTTATCGCCGCACAGTCTCAATACACCAGCCTTCCTGTCGCACAGTCTCAATACACCAGCCTTCCTGTCGCTCTCCTCTTCCCTGCTCGCACTCCCCTCCACTCCTTCTAACTCAGCCTCCCCGTCCCTTGCCCATGCGCCTCCCATCTCCCCTCTCCCCATGCCCCTCCGCGCGCCTATTCCCCCCCAACCCTCTCTCCCCCCCACACCAGTCTCGATCTCTTCTTCTGCCCCAGCAACGCCCCCCACTGCCCCCCGTCGCCCCCCTCTTCCCGCTCCCCGCCTCCCCTGCCGCCTGCACCCGCCTCGCCCCCATCCCATTCCACCTCCCCCTCCTCTCCGCCCCCCTCCTCCTCCCTTTCCCCCGCATCCCCCTCCTCCGCCTCCCTCGGTGCTCCCTCCAACCCCCCCTCTTCCACCTACCCATCCCCCTCTCCGCCCTCCGCCCACCCGTCCCCCGCGCACCACTCCGCCTGCCTCTCCCCCGCGCACCCGTCCAAGTGGCGGAGGCAGCAGCAGCGCAGGAGACACTCCATCCTGCTTCACCCGCCCACGCCGCACTCCCTCTGCCACTCCCACCTCGTCCACACGCCCCCCCATCCGTCTGACAACCAATTGCATACTGCCACGTCAGACGAGAGCAGGGACAGCAGCAGCACCAGTTCCCCCAGCAGCAGCAGTCTCTTCCTCTATCCGTCCCCTTCCTCCTCCTCCTCACTCTCCTCCTCCTCCTCCCTCCCTCTCGCTCACAACTTTGACACCGCTGACTCAGCATGCTCGCCAGCATGGCGCCATGCCACGTGTCAAGCGCAGCAGCATTGCGGGGGCGGCTGGAAGGACGTGCCAGGGGAGGTGCTACTGGCCATTCTCGACCGCACTGACAACCGCACGCTGCTGTGCGCCGCTGCTGTCTGCAGGGGGTGGGCCGCTGCTGTGTTCGGCCTCACTGCCCAGCTGTCGCTCTCCTGGTGAGTCGCCTGACCTGCGTGTTGGGATGTAAAGCACGGGGGTTTGGGGCGTTAGTGGTTCAGAGGTTGGGTATGGAAGGCCCGAGATGGTTGCTCCATTCCTGCGCTGCTTCTTTTATGCCCTACCTGCTTACCCTAATGCGCTAAAAATCCCCTCGCCCATCCTGCCTTGCGCGATGCGATGGATGCGTGTGCGTGGCACCACACAGGTGTGCCAAGGGCGTCAACTCGCTGGCCTCTCACCTCGTGACGCACTTTGCACGCCTGCAGGTGAGTGTGTAGGCACACACACCCTCACACTCACACTCAACCCTTCACTCACACCCTCTCTCAAACTCTTCTCACACCCGATCGTTGGTAGAAGTAACCGCGCTCACTCACGCCAGCCCCTTGACCTTGCCCATCCACCCAATGGTGCCTCCCTGCATTCCCTGTCACCACCGCCCCTTGCTGTCACGGCGCCACCCCTCCTCTACACCTTTATCCGTGCATGCATTTGCCTGAAATCCCACTCTTCGTGCTGCTTTCCTATTTTCCTCCTTCTCCACCTCCTTCTCCACCTCCTTCTCCTCCTACTCCCATCCACCATATCAGGTGCTCGATCTGCGGCGCTGTCCATCACTAAGGGATGCCACGCTGGCAACTGTTGCTGCCAGCTCACCCATGCTGACGTGTCTGCTCCTCAGTGGTTCCCCCCTCATCACTGACACGTCACTGCACGCACTCGCCTCCCACTGCCCCTCGCTGCAGGTATGTCAGCCCACTCCCCTTCTCTTTCGCTCCCTCCTCTATTGCCCTTCCACTTTCTCCCCTTCCTCTACCCTCCCCTTTATGTCACTTGCTCACCTGCTCACCTGCTCACATGCTCACTCTCTCTTTCTACTCTCTTTTTACTTTATTGCCTTTCTTTTTCACGTTCTCACCTGCTCTAACCCTGCCCACCCATTCCCACCCCTTACCTCCCCTTCCTCAACGTGCTATCACCAAATCGTTTTCTCTACCGTCCACTTGTCGCTGCCTCCCGCTTCGCTGGCCGCCTCGTTCCCCCCACACTGGTGCCCCCCTGCCCCCTGCCCCCTGCCCCCTGCCCCCTGCCCCCTGCCCCCTGCCCCCTGCCCCCTGCCCCCTGCCCCCTGCCACATCCCCCTCCACCCCGTGCATGACTCAGGTGTTGGATCTGAGTGCCTGCAGCGCCATCTCCCCCGCGGGCCTCACAGCACTGGCGGCGCGCTGCACGCAGCTGGGAGAGCTCTCCCTGTGTGGCTGCCGCCATGCCGCCACCGACCAAGCTCTCATTGTGCGTGTGCTGTGATTGTGTGAGCTGCGCTTGAGAAAATTGTTAGTAAAATTACGTACTTACTGCCACTCAACGGGTGTTTGGTCTAGTGGCATGATTCTCGCTTAGGGTGCGAGAGGTCCCGAGTTCAATTCTCGGAACACCCCATTCACAGATAGTTTTTTACTGTACTGTCCTCTCCCACCCCGAATCCCCCCTTTGCTGTTCTCCACCGACCTTTCCCCGCCCCACTCACCCATGGGCTATCCCAGGGGTGCCTGTGGCTGCACCAGCCATCCAGACAACTGTTTCCACCAATGGCGTTTGCACCGTTCCTTCACTCTCCCCTTCCTCCTACATGCCTGTCCCCCAGGCGCTAGCGCAGGGGTGCAAATGGCTAGAGGTGGTGAACCTGGGGTGGTGTGAGGGCGTCACGGACCGAGGGGTCACGGCTGTGGCCAGGGGGTGCCCGGGGCTCAGGGTGGTGGACCTCTGTGGCTGCTACCGCATCACAGGTACCGTATGTTTTGAGTTCATTACGGTATTGAGGTGTCTAAAAGATACCTATGCTTTTAGCGGACTCAAGGGTCACGGGTGTGGGTTGGGGACACTGGCCATGGGGTTCATTTTAAGGTCGACTCATCAATTTTAGTTTTGAGGCGCGTCAAAACTCATCTCATGCACGGGTGTGGGCTGGAAACACTGGCCATGCGATTGGTTCTAAGGTCGCACTCATGAAATGGCTCGTGCTGCAGCATGGGTCTTCTCTTCGTGTAGCATGGGACTGCGAGCACGGGTGGTTCCATCCCAACAAGGCATTTGCTCTTTTCCACACACACACTTTGCTAAGCCGCCCAGCACTTGTGTCCCTCCTTGTGCTCACACACATGTCCATCCCTCACACACACGGCTCTGCTGCCCTGCTCCACCCCCATTCTCCTCCACGACTCCGCCCCTCAATGACCATCCCACCACATTCCATGAGAAACAATGCATCCTCCTCCTGCCACCCTCCTCACCACCCATCGTTCCGTGTGACCACCAGACGTGTCAGTGGTGTCATTCGCGGTGCACTGCCCCTTGCTGCAGCGCGTGGGCACTCTACTATTAACAGCGAATCTTTTCTTCTAACCCATTTGACCTCCCTGTGTGCCGCCCTCCACCCCAATCAGACGCGTCAGTGGTGTCACTCGCAGCGCACTGCCCGTTGCTGCAGCGCGTGGGGCACTCCATGAGGAACAAAGCATTAATCCAACCAACTGCTATCCCTGCTCTCCCTGCCTGCCGCCATCCCCGTGCCCACAATCAGACGCGTCAGTGGTGTCACTCGCGGCGCACTGCCCCTTGCTGCAGGGCCTGGGGCTGCACTGCTGCCGCCAGCTCACCAGCCACGCCATGCTGGCACTCGCTGACGGGGCGGCTGCCATGTGGCACCGCCATGCTGGCAAGCACGGATCCTTGAAACCAACATCCATGGGAGCATGTGAGAGGGCTGCTGCCGCGGCACGGGGCATGAGGAGGAGCATCCCCCCAAGGCTGGCCCTGCCAGCCACCCCTCGCATGTGAGTAGCATCAGTTCAACCCCCCCTCCCCCGTGCTTTTGATTATTCTTCTGCTTTCGATGCCTCCATCTCTGACTGCACAAGTGATCGCAACGGCTGCCCGGTATGCGGTATCTGTGCTGCTCTTCACAGCAGCACCTCTGCTGCAATGTTCCACTCATGCCCATGGCATGCCATGGCATGGACACACTGTGCTGCATGCCTTGCCACCACCACTCATGTCCTCACTCTCCCCTCTCCTCAGTTACATCCAATCCTCATTCATTGCCACAACCTTAACCCCAGAACCCTCTCCCCCACTGTGGCTCACCCATCCCTGTCCCCACTCCTCAGGGGCGATGCCACCACGGTGCTCTACTCGCGCCCGCCACGTGGCGCGCACGGATTGGTCTCGCTCAACATCAGCGGCTGCCTGGCCATCACCCCGTCAGCCCTGCAGGCGGTGTGTGACGCGCACCCCCATCTGCACACCTGCCCTGCCCGCCGCTCCCTCAACACCAGCGGCTGCATCGCCCTGCAGCCCGTGCACTGCCACTGCCCCCGTGCCTCCGCTGCCTGACTGCTCCCACCTGTTGCTGCCGACCATCTCCCCAGCAGCCCACTTCCTCTCTCACGCCCATGCTGCGCCTGCTTGCTGCGCCTGCTTGCTGCGCATACAGGCCATCTCTCACCCCTGGAAAGCCTGCCCACCCGTCCCCATGTGCACACCAGCGGCTGCATCGCCCTGCAACCCGCGCACTGCCGCTGCCCCCGTGCCTCCGCTGGCTGACGGCCCACTTCCTCTCTCACACCCATGGAGCGCCAGCCCGCTGGCCAGAGGCCCTCCATCCCAATCTCTCAGGCCACCCACCCACCAGCGGTGTACACTCCATGTGGCTGCACAACCCACGCATGCCTGTCGATGCTGTGTACTGGAACTGTAAATAGTGTGCAGGAGAATCCGCAGAGAGGCTGCTTGCTTAGTGTTTGACAAGATCCTACTGCTACAGGCAGGCACAACCCGAGCTAACTGAATCCGATTGTCTTGTTTAGGTGGGAGGCCCATCTACAGACAGGCCCATGTTCTCCGGTGCAGTCCCTTATCCTTGCAAGCAAAGAATATGATCCATTGCGCTTTCGCAGGCGTATATAGCACTGTCTACAGCACTACCAGGAATCACCTAAGCAGTAACTTTGCAGTATCTCACTGGCGGCGATGCTCCCAGGTCAGCTAATAACGAGTATGCCCTGGCCTGGTGGGGGAAGTTGTTTATGGAGAGCGGGAGCGAATTATGCGTGTGGGCGTGATGTGATGTTGCATATGGGAATGAGCAGAGTGTAATGGTGCTTGTGTGAGTGTATGTGACTGTAACAAAACATAAACGACGCGGAATCAAAGGAGAAAGAGATCGAGGAGCAGAAGAGCCCCTCAATTGTGGCATGGACTGGAGAATGCCGTGCAGGAAGAGAGAGTGAGATGGGAGATTTCTAAAGTGAGTGACGGAACAAGGAAGTGGGGAGCAGAGAGGCGCACCTCACTGGTGGCAATAGACTCACCTCACTGGTGGCAATAGACTCACCTCACTGGTGGCAATAGACTCACCTCACTGGTGGCAATAGACTCACCTCACTGGTGGCAATAGACTCACCTCACTGGTGGCAATAGACTCACCTCACTGGTGGCAATAGACTCACCTCACTGGTGGCAATAGACTCACCTCACTGGTGGCAATAGACTCACCTCACTGGTGGCAATAGACTCACCTCACTGGTGGCAATAGACTCACCTCACTGGTGGCAATAGACTCACCTCACTGGTGGCAATAGACTCACCTCACTGGTGGCAATAGACTCACCTCACTGGTGGCAATAGACTCACCTCACTGGTGGCAATAGACTCACCTCACTGGTGGCAATAGACTCACCTCACTGGTGGCAATAGACTCACCTCACTGGTGGCAATAGACTCACCTCACTGGTGGCAATAGACTCGAGGATGCCGTGCGTGCCATGCAGGAAGAGAGCGCGAGGAGGAACGTTTTCATGACAAGGAAATGACGAGCACAAGGGAGGGGGAAACAGAAGCTCACCTCACCAACAGAGTGATTGTGCCATTGAATGCGATGCACAGGTGCACAGGGACAAGACCAAATGGCCTGACCCTCAGGTACAGGCAGAAGCTCTTTGAGAGAAAGCATGTGACAATGCAGACAGATGAGGGCTGCGGTGCAGAGGGAGCAGGTGGAGCTGGTGAGTGAGAGATGAGGAGTGCGTGATGGGGAGTGTGTGGTGGTGAGCGCGTGATGGGGAGTGCGTGATGGGGAGTGTGTGATGGGGAGTGTGTGATGGGGAGTGCGTGATGGGGAGTGCGTGACCTTTACCTTTACCTTACGTACACACTCCCCGCCCAACACCCCTTCCCCATGCCAACGCTCCTCTCCTCGCCAGCGCTCCTCACTCTCCTCGCCAGCGCTCCTCTCTCTCCTCGCCAGCGCTCCTCTCTCTCCTCGCCAGCGCTCCTCTCTCTCCTCGCCAGCGCTCCTCTCTCTCCTCGCCAGCGCTCCTCTCTCTCCTCGCCAGCGCTCCTCTCTCTCCTCGCCAGCGCTCCTCTCTCTCCTCGCCAGCGCTCCTCTCTCTCCTCGCCAGCGCTCCTCTCTCTCCTCGCCAGCGCTCCTCTCTCTCCTCGCCAGCGCTCCTCTCTCTCCTCGCCAGCGCTCCTCTCTCTCCTCGCACAGCGCTCCTCTCTCTCCTCGCCACCGCTCCTCTCTCTCCTCGCCAGCGCTCCTCCCATAGACGCAGGCAGACAGAGCATCACATGACAGCTCCTCGCCCCGTCCAGCACCCTTCACACTGAACCAGAGCATGCTCCCTGCCACCACACGCCGTACCCCTCGTTGAATTGCGCGCAGCACACGGCGGCCTCCCTCCTGGTCGCCACGTCATCATCCTCCTGGTACCTCGCCACGTGTACACGCGTCAGCTCCAGCAGGACGAGCAGAGCGACCACAGCGCCAGCTGCGTCACCCCCGTCATTGACAGCTCCCCCGCCACGCTTCCCCCGCTCCGCGCGTCCCGTCGTAGCACCAGTTGCGTCACCCCCGTCATTGACAGCTCCCCCGCAACGCCCAGTCAGCCATCTCCTCTCGCCAGCACCACCGCCAGTCAGCCATCTCCTCTCGCCAGCACCACCGCCAGTCAGCCATCTCCTCCCGCGACAGCTCAAGAAGCGTCCATCCTTCCAGCATCAACGTAGTCAGCACCGCTCCAGACCTTGTCGAGAGACAAGCTCAAATAACCTCCGCACCTGCACGAACAGTTTAATGTGCAGCGAGTGAGATACGCTATCATAATATAATGTGCAGAAACGGAAATGCGCAGCTTGATTGGAAACGAAACGCGATCAGCAAGAGAATAATGGCCACTGGAGATACTAGATACATCATCAAACGTTTACTTTAACGATCGTGCGTTTTACAATGAAAACTCACCACAACCGTCTGGCGGCGAGACTCCGTAGCGGCAGGACGTCGCGAGCAGGGAAATTCGCGGCACGAGCAGGGAACGTCGCGAGCAGGGACATTCGCAGCACGAGCAGGGAACGTCGCGAGCAGGGACATTCGCAGCACGAGCAGGGAACGTCGCGAGCAGGGACATTCGCGGCACGAGCAGGGAACGTCGCGAGCAGGGACATTCGCAGCACGAGCAGGGAACGTCGCGAGCAGGGACATTCGCAGCACGAGCAGGGAACGTCGCGAGCAGGGACATTCGCGAGCTTCGTACGGACGTCGCGAGCTTCGTACGGACGTCGTGAGCTTCGTACGGACGTCGCGAGCTGCTCCTCCGTCATCGCGGTCACCAGTGACGCATCCGCGCTGCTCTCGCCGTGACGCATCCGCGCTGCTCTCGCCGTGACGCATCCGCGCTGCTCTCGCCGTGACGCATCTGCGCTGCTCTCGCCGTGACGCATCCGCGCTGCAGAGAGCGATGGGAGTCGAGGAGATGCTTCGCGCTGCTTCCATATCCGCCAGTTGTTCTCCGCGATGCTCCCCCCTCCTTCGTCAGCGTCGGATTTCTCCGTCAGCTTCGAATGTCTCCGTTAGCGTCAGATGTCTTCGTCAGCGCCAAGACTTTGTCAGCGTCGTCTGTAGCACGTCGCCCGTCAGATCCTCTCCGCAACGCTCCCTGCTTTCCTTAGCATGCCGTAGTAGTAGAGGCCTCGAATTTTGCGAGATTCGGAAGCGACGCGAGGGTTGACGGCTTCGCAGCGACAAACTTCTCGTGAACGGCTAAGCGTCCGGTTGAGAAATACGCGAGCGACTCTATCTGAAGCGTCGCACAGATAACAGCGTTGCGCGACTCCTTCTCGTCTGTAGCGACGTCACGAGCGGAGGCGATGGCGGGAACGTAACGATTTAGATGTCTGAGACGTCGCACGGATGTAACACAGCCTCATCTGTAGCAGCGTTAAGAGTGCGAGGTAACGCAACGATCTAGATGTCTGAAACGTTGCACAGATGATTGCGTAGAGACTCTGGCTTAAAACCGGAGTCCCAAACAGCCCCAAAGTGCCTCAACCTTCCTAACTTTGAGAAGGGGTGACGCAGTAGGTACGACTCACTTCGCAAATCGGGGGGACAATTTTCGTCACGCGAAACTACTGTTCTAGCGAGGACGAAAGCAGTGACGATTTCGCCAACAAATTTGAAGCCCGTCCGAAACTGTCTGCGAACCAGTTCTGATGTTGCATTCCAGATCTGGTTATTTTCGCGAAATTTTCTTCCTTTACAACCCCAGACCACCAATTTCGACACCACCCTGGTTCGCGAGCCAGTCACCTTTCTCTCCCCTTTCAACCTTCCTAACTTAGAAACTCTTGGACCTCCGGTTTTAAACGTCACGGTAAATCGTCCTACAAAGGCTTCAGGAACATTGTCGCACCACGTCGCGTCCGGATAAAATATCTTATTCTAGCACTGATGAAGTCGATTCGTCTTATTGCTGCGGAGATAACTAATACAGCGGGAGCTAGACTACGGGCTAGGCACGGGTGCTCGTGTGATCTCTGCGTTCGTTGGTCCTTGGGCGTATTCCTACGGCCTCCTATCAAGAAACCTCCTATCAAGATTGTACCTTTTGCCTGGTAAAAGTAGCGAAAGATTTTGGGTTTAGGGAATTTTCCAGTGAGAGCTTGATAGGAGGTTTTCTTGATAGGAGGATAGGAATACGCCCTTAGTCGTTTTCCTAGTGCGCACACAACTTGCTAGTTCACAGGGAGAATTGGCAAGAGTTTCACTAGAGAAAGTTGACAACAATGGTACAATGAAGTTGGCAATGCAAGACTACATCAGAGCTAGCATTCAGGTCGGTCGAATGCCAGCGCAACATGGTCGACCGCGTTCCACCACGACTTGGTCGACCGCGCTCCAGCAGTGCAAAGTCGACGCAGGCCAACTTCGCAGGTTGACGACGTGCCAGCGCTGCTCACGCAGAACAGCAGCGCACCCGCTTCGCAGGTGCTCGCAGATGATTGGTGGGCTGTGCCTCGTCACCTGCACAACGCACACACCAAGTCATCCTCGTGCTGACGACTCCACCTGATCCGCCATGTCGACCTCGGGATACCAACCCCGAGGTCGGGCTCGCCAACTTCGCCTGGGCGACCGTCGCACTCCTCCGCAGAAGTTCGTCACCCAGGTAACCTGGTCGACTTGGCAACCACGTCGACCAGCTGCTCCCGTACATGCCCGTCGACCTCCCAAGTCGACGGCCACCTCCAAGTCGACCTCACCAGGTCGACCACGCACCTGGTCGACCAGCTCCACGTCGACGTCACTTCCGGTCGGACGGCTCCACGTCGACCAGCATTCGTGGTCGACTAGCTTCATGTCGACCAGCGCAGTTGTCGGCCGACCACCCAAGTCGGCTACCCGAAGTCGGCGTCATGAAGTTGACGCCCCGCTACTCGACGCCAAACTGCTCGGCGTCCTAAGTCGAGGTCGACGTCGGCCCCTCCGCCGTCGACCACCAGGTCAGGTCGACCACCAGCAGGTCGACCAGCAGGTCTGGTCGACCAACCACCAGGTCGACCAGCAGTCCGTCAGCCGACCACCGAAGTCGGCTTCCCCAAGTTGACGTCACCAAGTTGACGTCCTCCGAAGGTCGACTTCCCAGGTCGACCTCCCTGAAGTCGGCATCATACTAAAGTCGACCCCGTGCAGTGGTCCCCGTGCAGGTCGACCTCCTCGTCAACCAGCTCGTCCACTGCTGCAGGTCGGCTGCTCCCCTCACATCCGACCACGAACTCGGCTCCGCCCAAGCGAGGACGGGGCCAACACACAACTCCCGTTGACACTCCCCTGCCGCGTTCACGCTTGGGCCCCCAGCCCACACGGCAGTACTCCTCGGAGAATAGCTCGTCGACGTGCACCCAACTCACGGCACGTCGTCCACCGCACCAACCATGCAAGAGGGCATGGCACCTACTGTTGCACATCGTCAACTTCGTCGCCCACGTCGGCCAAGCGCACCTGGCCGATGGCGACGGAGCACCGGTTGAAGGCCGGATAGTGCACCGCCTTCGTAAGGAAGTCGGCCGGCTGCTCAGTGGTCGGGATGTACCTCAGCAAGAACTTCCCGCGCTTCACCATGTGCTGCAGCCAGGCCTGTCGCTCCTCCATGTGCTTGAGGTTGCCCGTCAACCCCATGCCCTCGGCGACTATGATGGCCGACTTGTTGTCCACCCGAAGGACAGTCGGCTTCCCAGCATCCAGCTGCTGGAACTCTGCGAGGAGGAAGCGAAGTCGGCGTCCCTCCTTGCCAGCTTCGGTGGCCGCCATGTACTCCAACTCGGTCGATGACAACGTCGCGCACTTGATGCGCTGACTCGACGAGGAGACCGCGGCCCCTCCGTAGACGAACACGTAGCCGCTCGTGCTCGTCCTGTTTTGCTTGTCACCGGCGTCGTCGGCGTCTACGTAGCCGACTAGCTCCAGTGACTCAGGTCCACCGCCGAACTCTAGGGCGGTGTCACGCGTGTTGGCGAGGTAGGAGAGGCAGCGGTCGACCTCGCGCCAGTGCTGGTCGCTCCTCACCGTGAGGCCGCTCCCCAGCTTGGTGCAGGCGAAGGCGATGTCCGGCCTCGTTGTCGTCGCCGCGAACTGCAGCGAGCCGACTGTGAGGGTACGACGGCTTATGCCAGCTATGCTTGCTTGCCTTTACTTTATCATGCTATTTCTAGCATAGGATAATCATATTCATGCATGAATTGCTTGATTTCCTAGGCTAGGTGCTTTCCTATATTTTATTATAGTTATAGCACCGAGCTAGGTTGCGTGCACCGAATTCTGGCCTTTTCGGTTGCCACTGAATTGCCTTCTACCGAATTCGGTAAGGGTCTGTTCGGGACGCTACGCGACCCGCGGAACCTTCGCCTAACACCTGGTTACGGGGCCTTGTGTCGAGCCTATATATAGCCTCGTGTTGTACCCAGGTGATCATTCAATTCGATTCAATTCATATTCTCTTTTCTGAGCTCGATCCTAGATCCTCACACTTGGTAATCAGAGCCCGTTTACACGCGAAGTTCTTTCGACCGCTAAAAACCAGTCTTCAAAAACCGCGGGGGCGACGCAGTCAAACATCGATTTCGGGTACGTAAAACCGGTTCCGTGTTTTTCGCTCCCCCTCGATTCGATTTTTCGGACGCGTTGATGTCAGGCATGGAGGGCCAAGGCGACAACTACGCGACTACGAGCGACATCGCGAGCCTCCGCACCAACATGGAGCAGACGCAGGCGACGCTTCGTCGACTCGAGGCTTTTCTGACAAGCCAACCAGGGTTTTGTTATAGTCACAATAGTCTCCAATGTGCCTAAAACGAAAGATAGAGTGCACAGCTAGATTTCAGCACAGCGGCTTCAAACGTTCATAGCGTTCTGGTCACAACTTCAAATGACTTGATTCAACTTGGATCTGGAGCGTCTGAACGTCGCCTACAACAAGCAATTTAGATCGCACAATTTCACCAAGTATTGACGACACAGTGTTGGTTTGAACGAACGGCACTATGGCAGCCACTATAGTCTTAGAACACAAAATAGGAAGAGATATGAAGAGTTACGAGTTGGGAATGACTCCCAGCTCCTACAAACCCCAAGAGCCGAGGTACAGTGATGTGGAACAGTGCCACACTGTCCCCAACCACGAAGGGTCTCGAAACTACCCTTCACTAGGGCATACACCAAGTGAAATGTTACACTACACAAAGTAATGTAACTATCTTCTTTTTCTTGAGGTGCACCCTTTTGGCGAGCTTCGAAATCACTTGAGGCTTGACACCAAGGCTCGGGCTCTTCATCACAAAATCATCCTTGAGTTCTTGATGGGTCTTCTACACACACCTACGACACGCGGAACGTTCGACATAGGACAAAATAGAAACCGC